TCTCGACCATCAGTTGTATGTTGCAACGCTACCTCCATAAAGTGCGCCAAGTGTGATATTGATATGTTTCTCACGAAATCCATTTACATTCATATCTTATGAAATATCAACCCAGCTGAGTAATTTTCAGCAGTGAAAATTGTAACTTCTTTGACAATTTGATCTTGCCTGTAAACCGGCATGCCTCATGTAACAATCTGTTATTTGAGAATAAATTATTATTGTTATTATTATAATAAGATGTTTAAAGGGTTGATCAGAAGTATCAAAAATACTGTAAGTCATAAGAAGTTCACCTCTAAGACGCCTGTACTCTAACGGGTAAAGGTTAAGTGATTGGAGGCGCTCTTCATAAGGTTTGAGTTTGAGTCCCCGAACTGATTTCGTGGCTCGACGTTGGATACGTTCCAGAGTGTCCTTATCCTTTTGGAGGGAGGGAGGAAATACTATGTTTCCGTACTCTAAATGAGGACGAATAAAACTTTTAAGGATTATGTGGAAAGTTCTACCGTCAAACTGGCCGAAAATGCGCTTCAGTGTTACCAGTGCAAGACATTTTTGTCACAGTCAGCGTACGACTTCAAGTCATAGGTTACCAACACTCCTAAATCTTTTTCGATTCGTGATACTTCTAGAGAGGAGTTTCCTAAGTTGTAACTATAGTCTGCAACATATCGCAGGTGGACTACTTTACAATTTGAAGAGTTGAAGGTAAATCCGCTGTGGTCTGCCCAACTTTGAAGTCGAGTCAGATCCTCCTGAAGTGCCAACATATCCTCTTAGTCGCGTTTTTCTATCTAATGTCTCACATCATCAGCAAAAATCAACAAGTCAGACGATACTTAGTGTGAAAGATCATTCATATATATCAAGAAGAGGAGAGGTGCTAGTATTGAGCACTGGGAGACCCCAATAGGAAATACCACAGCCTGAGAGAAAGTGAAGTTAACCCTGACCTTAAAATGTGGATTTTTAGATATGATGTTGGCCAGTCGATTAAAGGTGGTTTAATAACTAATAGTTTAAGCTTATTGATAAGACATATATGGTTGACCCTATCAAAAGCCTTTGAGAAATCAAGATAAATAACGTCAATCTCCCACTTACGATCAAGGATGCTTATCCATCTGTCCACTGCAGTCAGCAGGTTAGTTATACAAGAGTGATCCTTCCTGAGACTATGCTGCTGGAGTGAGAAGAACTTTAGGGATAATAAGTGTTAATATACAGCACTGCATATCAAGGACACCGTAATCTTAGAAGGTATAGAGAGAGGAGCCACTGGTCGGTAGCTTGGGGGTTCGCTACGTCGACCTCCTTTGTAAATTGGTGTGATGTGAGCCTGCTGCCAATTTTCCAGTAGTTGGTCTCGGCTTAGCGAGTGTGAGAACAACACGCTAAGCGGTGTTGCCAGGATTGAAGCTGCTTTCCTCAGTATAGCAGAATGAACCATATCCGAACCGGGAGAAGTGTCTCTTCTTATGTGCTGCAGTTTACGGAACACCACGTCAGCGCTCAGATCCACCTCCGAAAGTCCTGTGCAGGTGCAGGCGAAGCTTTCATCAGTGCGGTTGATGCGGGTCGGCTGAAATGTCTGAGAGTATCATTCAGGTAAAAGGTTAGCAGCATCGCTTTCATTATCGGTCGGACCATTAGGACCCAGCAGTTGGGAAACTCCAGTTTTCGCTTGTCGAAAAGAGGCTGCGTTACGGAACAAGCTTTTCGGATTGGAAACAAATTTATCGATAGGTTTGTTCTGGTATTGAAGCCTGTCTTCTGTTATTGCCATTGTGCATATGTTCCTTATATGTTTGTATTGCCTGTACGCGCCGTCGTTATAAGCTCGTTTATATTCAGTCCAACAGTGCCTTTTGCGGCTTAGCAAACAAAGAGTGCGGTTCTTGATGATTGCAGGCTGTTTGTAGCTTTTTGGGACCGTTTGAGGAACTGAATGCTTATTAGCACATAAGGGTGTGTGCAGTGAGAAATCCAAATGAGCATCCACTTCAAGTTGAGGGTGGACATCCTAATTTAACTGTTGTAGATAGTCGTGTAAAGCGAACACATTCAACTGTTTAAAATTTTAGCGCCTGTTGTTGGTGGGATATCTTAGTTCACTTTTTTACGGACAATACTGAAGGATAGAACGGCGTCACCACTTTTCCCCAGCGGATCCAAAAATGAGAGGTCGTCGACTAGGAGTTCTTCATCTGTGAATACCCAGTCTAAGCACAACAGCGTCTGACTGTTTCTTCAAGTTGCCGACATCACATTTTCGAATAATCCCAGATCTTCAATGAGGTTGAAGAACCGAGCTTCAGTAGAGTTTTCACCTCCAATATAGGTATGTTCTGCGAAGTTGACTCTAGGAAGATTGAAGTTCTCTAGAATTATAATATGAGAGAATTGGAGACGAGTGGAGCAGGTTAATCCTTCCAGGAAACGAGCATGAGTCTGTTTTACAAAAAAGACTGTAAGGATAGACTGTGGTTAGAGTTACTCTGAAAAATGTGACACATTAGGACTGGAACCATTTTTGAAGACGAGAGTAACATTTAATTTCATGCTTTATCCCACGCTCTTCAAATCCAGTTTTAGGTATCACTGATTTACTTAATTATAAACTAACAAATCGCACCAGACTAGCCGAAATACAGCATCGTATATCTAACGTATATATGTCTTCTGTCATTTGGAAGATGCTACCAAGTGGATTACTTAAAAACGATACCGTAAGTTATTCATTCTAGGCGACTCCAATATACCAGGTAATCTAGCAATGTGGCGAGTACTTCCCCAAGGAATTGAGGCATTCTTGTCAATCAATGGACGTAGTTCTGCCCATACAATACAGATGGAACCAATAAACTCAATAGGGATCTGTCATGAACACAGAATTAAAATGGCTGTGGAAAATGAAGGGTGAAGTAGAAAATCGGTTTCAGCGAGAAATTAATGGTAAGGAAACGAGCAGAAATGAAAAAATATCAGTGTAGGCAAATGCAAAATATAACCTTATTTTGTATCAAAAATTAAACACATACAGGACGGATGGGTATTCAGAGTAACTTTATAATTGAAGAAAAACAGATGGTTAATAAAATACTATGTCAATGCAGAAACAGCATTTTTCGCCCACCGAGGTGCATATCAGAGGTTTCTAAGGCTATCATTCACAGCTCACTCATGAAATAGCCTCAAATACAAAGCAACAGAAATTTCTAATTTCAATTTGTAGGGTATCTCAAAGTAATTCAGGTGATATGCTTAAGGATTTTACTTTAAAATGCTTTATCGTTGCTTTTTAGAATATAAGCGGTTGAGAAGCCATAGTTTAGGGACCGACATCACCTGAATATCCCTGGGGATCTTATAGAATACTTGCTGAAGTTCAGCAGACAGTTCAATATCATGCTGTGGGAAGTATTTCTGACTTTTGGAGCAATATTCCATGAGACTAGAACCATACAGCCTATAGTTGTACTTTTTGTTTTTCTTACTCATGTTGCGCGATATCAGAAAATGAAAGCTGTAATGCATTTAAAAACTTGAGAGTTTTAGTGTTTCACATGTCTTATTATGTTACCTGTACTCTGATCTACTGTAAGATAAGCTGAAGTCTTAGTTTGGTTATCATCATCTTAATGATCTTCAGCATTTTATCTACGTCCATTTGGGAAGACAATTAAGTGAGTTAAGATCTAGATCTACTTATCCATTATGACATTTTTATTATATGGATTGGTAGTGTAAACGAAATGTTGCGTGGTTAATTTTCAGTATGTATTTGAATGTGTATGGACAGGTGAAATGTAAATTATTTCAAGTCACTGTAAGTAGGAGCCCCTAAAATTGGTAGGTTGATAGTTTTCATGTTTTAACGTTCATGGACTCATACTAAGTACCAACTGAGTTATAGACTGCTTTTTCATCGTATTCGATGGTCTTTGGTGGTTTCTCACACTTTTTATCAGCTTTCAGTTCATTCTCTATGTTATGCAATGGCAGTTCGCTACACTGTTCTTGTTGGGTCGATTTGCTTTTTGAGATGAGTTTTTGGGGTTGTAGAATCAAAAATAGAGTGTGGCAAAACATGCTGAGCAACATTTATTCCCGTAGTTTTTTCTTTGAGCTCATCACATGACACCAAGTTAGGCTACCATGGTTATCAGTAAACAACCAGAAAACCGGTTCTGGGTCATTATTTACTGTTTCAACAACTAATTCATTGTTTCTAAACATCAGGAATGCGAATTTACAAGCTTCAGTCATAAGTTAAAACCTGTGATATTTAGAAACTGGTTGGAGTTTTAAATTTTTGATGTCGTTTCTTGACATTAATGCAAACATATCCTCCAAATACCGCATTGTTCCATTTGTAATTTGTTTAGTATTTAATGGATGAAAGCAAATCAGTTCATTTATTTACGTCTTTTTTTTTCGTGTTGAAATACAGTTCCAGATGTTTTGTGGAGATGTATAGTTTATATCGTCACTCCTGCTGTTATTTTAGTAATGTCTCGATTGACAGATTATAATTATCTCATAGGCGTTAACTCGGTGGTCTGTGAAGACTAAATCGGTATTAATTAGCCTCCTGGAGTGGTCTTTTGTATTATTTTAGCCAACATTACTCTTCAATTGATACAAAAGTTATATTACAACATTCAGTTTTCTGATGGTGAGGTTTTAGCCATATGAACAGCACATTTTAGACAAGACTAACTAAATTGCTTTGACCCTAGTATATGTTGCACGTAGCTTATTGTGATCAAGGGATAGTCCTTTGAATAATCATATCTGCGATCGGGAAACATTTCTTCATTGAAAAAGGCTAGGTTGACTAATTTTTATATTTTTTGCAGACTTATCAAGAGTGATAATTGCTCTGCGCTTATTCTCACTTGTTACTACTTGTTAAATGGTATATTCATATCATAAAGATATTAAGTAAGTTAGTATTTTTTTTTCATACTCCATTCCTACCTTTTTAACTATAGATGGATTACCATACGATTGGAAAGATATACTTTTCAATAAATTTATGCCTGGTGTTATTATTGATGTGGAGTGGTGTTCACTGGTACACAGATTCAGAATCTAATAGATGTATACTCACCCGGATGATGGATTTTCCCGAATACGATGTAAATTTCTATTAAATAGTTTATCTTTAGGAAGTCAATGTTGATTACCAACGGAAATGCTACTTAGGCTATGCCTTGTATCAATATCGGGAAGGGTACGTTCAAACATTTTATTCTGTTCATTTATTTTTTCTCTTCCTTTAGTTCCAGATTCCGGTATTTCACAAAACATTAAAATGTTTATTTTAGATCCCGACTCTACAATTCGCCAGTCTTGTTTATTACAGGTTCTCAAGGAAGTTTCAAGACAGTCAGATCATTAGCAACAACTATCCAGAATTTTCCACAATATAGTTCATCACTTGATTACTACAGTGTTGATTTCAATGAAGTAAGGGGATATATATACGTATATATACTTATTTTTATATACTGATTAGATACGTATAAGCATATACATGTTGTTCTCAGTAGTTCTCAGTAGCTGGTAAAACAATAAAATGCTCATTCCTTTTATTTTATAAAAAGTGAAGTAAGACTTTGGGGCATGAAAATATGCATCGATAGTTTTCAACAAGATGGGTCATCGTGACTTGAACTTGTCTCATTTTATCTAAATTCTGGAAGTGCTGCGAGATTTCAATCAACATTTAAGAACTCCTCAGGTCTTGGTTTCTGGTGAAGTGCATTCACTAAGAACCCCAAACAATCAAACATTTTTACAGTTGGATGCCGGTTTAGTGTTCTAGAAATTAAGCGTTTGCGTGCGCAAGGTAGTGTGTGTGCACTGTGGAAGTCTCATGGTAAGACAAGACGGCCGTTCAGTGCTTCCAGATTTTCAATAATAGTCTAGCTCAGATTAGTTCGCAACATAAATGGTACGTAATTTTTTGAGCTTGTCACAAGGTTGGACAGTGGTTCTTCAAGTTAGTTTACATGAAAAAATTTTCTCATGTACCTAACTAGAAAGAGGAGGCGTTGGAAAGGGATAGGCGTATAACTCAGTAATTAAATTATATTTGTTAGTTGGAGCGGTTTCGGTCGGTTACAAACAGTGTAGGAACTTAGAACAAATGCATGTCGGTTTAAATTGTTACTCTATATCAGCATAGTGAGATAAAAAATAACTTTAAAATATACTGGAGTGTTAGTGATAATGTCGGTGTCAGTAAAATGATTAAACAGAGTATATGGTTTGAAATCCTGAAGGCCAAAGAAGAAGAGGAAGACCAAAGAACACATTACGCCGAGAAATGGAGACAGACATGAGAAGAATGAGCAAAAACTGGATAGAAGTAGAAAAGAAGGCCCAGGACAGAGTGGGTTGGAGAATTCTGGTCGGCGGCCTATGCTCCATTGGGAGTAACAGGCGTAAGACGAAGATGGTTTGAAAAGGACTGGTTATGTAACTCAGCAAATTAATTTCCTCAGTTGAGTCTTATGATATCACAAATTGTGTTTATACACCAAGTTACTGATTGATCACTGTTAAGTGCTATTCAGTTAAAATTGTGTTTTAATCTAATTATTGATCAGTCAAAACTGAAACATTCAGGCAATCAGATTCCAACTTAGTCGTTTAACGGTTGAGAATCGACTTACAGGACATGAATACGCTTCCAAGTTTTCCATGATGGTCTAACTTACCTTTGACGAATCATTGTTATATTTTAATTCAATAATATTTGGATAACTACTTTTTGTTGTAAGAGTTTCATTATCTTGAAGTCCCTAACTTCTAGTCTGAGCCATGTTGGTAGATGTAGACTAGCTGGTTGGGGTCCCCGTGACTATCGTAACCAATGGTTGGAGACTCTAGGTGACATGGCTCAGAATCGATCGCAATGGCGTAGGTGCATACACTCTTTATCTTCCCTTAAACCTTAAGATTAAAATTGCTTCATAACTTTCTTCTTTCCTATACTATATCCTTATATACAACCTATCTTTTATATATTACCACTGCTAAATTAACTATTTCTATGAATCCGGTGTTCATCTTGTTGTGCTAATGAGGTATGGCAACTTGGACCGATGCATAAATGTGTCTGGTCCTACTTTTTAGCTGACTGAATATTATCAATAAAATAATACATAGATTCAACTATTTTAATTATTTCTCTGTTTATATTTTAGGAACCATCTGCTCTCAGTGGTGAAATTATTGAACGTCAAACTGGTAGTTGTCAATTATTAATCTCCTTTTCTTCTTATTAAAAAATGTCTTTTAGATTTTGTAGATAAAGCAATCGATACTATATTAGGAACATATGCAAACCGACCTAATCCTCCTGAACATATTGTGTTAATAGGTCATTCTGTTGTAAGTTTATTTTATGCACATACACACACACATACGCTTGCGAAAAATAGTGTCTTTTGTTTGTTTGTCTGTTTTTGTTTAATCTCAGAATTATGACATTAAAAATTTTAGTTGTGAATAGCAACAACCAAGATAAATCAATGTTTTCACAATTGATTGATCACTGAGTGGTGATCAATGTCATGCGTGTCAAGTCCTTCTTAGTGCTGATCGAATACTATCGATCAAGTTGCAATATGGCCACTTGTCTAGGTGGCTCGACACCGTGTGCACTATGTTAAGATAACATGGTAGTTGGAGGTGGTCAACAGGAAACCCTGGACCCGGGTTTCGTGCTACTTGGCACTCGTCAGCAAGGTGTACCTGTCAGCTTGAGGGAACTGGTGCTTCCTGACGGATTCGATTCCGTGTCACTCAGCTTCACAGTCAGAGACGTTACCACTGAGCTATTCGGGTCGCGACCGACCTCCTGTAGGACTGAGATGTAATCACAGTTGATTGATCACTGGGTGGTGGTCAGGGAGCACCAGTTTCTTCAAGATTACAGGTATAAATCAATGCTTTATTTAATAATGATATGAACTATCATATCTATTGAAGACGTGAATGGATATATCAATTCAATAATTCAGTGAATATGGGGTTGAGGTCTAAGAAGAAACTTACTAGGTTTGAGTCTCAGTGTGAACACAAACACTGAGATATAAGTATATCCAACTGATAAGTTTCAAATGAAATGAAACACGAGTCTTCGAATTCACTGAGATAGTTTAATTTAATGTTAATCCATTATCAAGTACATGTTCGTGTACTGAATCATAATCAGTCTATGTGATAGCTAACGATATTACCTGACTGTCTAAACTGGATTAGAGATGGAATACTTTATCTATTCATTAAAACTCGGGCGCATCACGATAAATTCTGAGCTAATTGTTATGTTAGTAACCTTTTAGAACTGTAAGTTAAATTGATTGCTGGATCGTTGATGTGTAGGCTACACCTTTGACTTCAATTTCTGAAGCTTAAGGCAGCGGAACAACGCTAGATGTTATTCTATTGTAGATGATGACCAAAGTATAATCATACGTCATTCGTTCCCATAGGATCATAGAAGCACTATTCTGTAATGGTCTGAAGTTAAAGTTTTCCAACTCATTCAACTGAACTTTGCGCTTCCATTAATTCGATTTGCCTCTTAAATCCTGTCGAAATAATCTCTCCACTTGAGTGAAACATTCCTGGAATAAGTAGGTATCATTACCAAGTTTTGATTTGATAATTTTGAATAATTGAAAGCGTGAGTCAATTGAAGCTAGACCACCATGGAAAACCTGGAAACACTGGACGACCGTTTCGTCCTATTATGAGACTCCTCAGCAGTGCGCATCCACGAACCCACTCTCGCGAGCGAGATTCGAACCCAGGACCTACCAGTTGAAGTTAGACATTAACACCGTTGGATGCCAGCTCAGTGGTCTATCGGTTAAGGGCTTCGGCTGGAGACTGATAGGTCCTGGGTTCGAATCTCGCTCGCGTGAGTGGGTTCGTGGATGCGCACTGCTGAGGAGTCCCATAATAGGACGAAACGGCCGTCCAGTGTTTCCAGGTTTTCCATGGTGGTCTAGCTTCAATTGACTCACGCTTTCAACTATAGTAAATACTAAATCTCCACAAAACCCCTTCTATAATTTTGAATAAATTGAGTATTGGGTAGATTGTTATAAATAAATAAATGATATATTAGTAATATTCCTATGAGTAGAAAAAATTAGATTTTCTGACGTTTCGTGACTCAGTATAAACCATTTCTTCAGAGAATAAATAACCAAATTAATATTAATCCAAGTTTAAATAGTACAACGGAACAATTCAAGAATATTAGGTGCGATCAATCAAAAAACAGGTCTGAATAAATCAATGTCACGTCATTTCATTGCGGTCAAGGTGATTCATAAGCGACATGGATGTAATTTTTGTTTGTATGTATGCACTGTTAATAATGAAAATTGTGTGACCTTTATAATTACAAAGGATAGAGTTTGATTTGTAATGTAATGGTGTGAATTTGTAAATAATATTAGACTGGTTGACTAGGATTAATAGTCCAAGTAGGATGTATGGTAAGGCCTTCCTTTCTATTGAGGGCAGTGGGATTAAACATTATATGGAAAGCTTCAGCTACTCTTCTTTCTTTGTGATTGGAAAAACCTTTCTGTAGTATTTTGATGTTTTAGAAATCAATTTGATGATTATTGAAAATGGCATGAACCGCTAATACCAATTTAATTTAAAGTATATCTAGTTCTACAAGATTATTAGGAGGTTTCTTTGTGTTCTTTGACGCGAGTCATGATTTCGCGAGATGACTCTGCAATATAGAAGGCATCACAGTCGACACAACCTAATTTGTAGACGCAGTTCTGTGTAGACATGAATGGTATCTTTTCTTTTAATCGAACTAAAGTATTTCGAAGTGTGTTAGTTGTTTTGTAATATACTTTAATTCTGTATTGTTTTAAGATTCTTTGGAGTTCTTGAGTTGTGCCATGACGGTATGGTAAAACTGCAGTACCAATCCATGGCATTTCATTCGAATTATTGTTATTATTACGTGCTGAATTGTTTTAATATACTTCTGATAATCTTCATAGGAAAACTATTAAATTGTAAGATGCCAATTATATTCTTTTATACTTTCACTTTGTTCTCTTCTGAAGTGATGATTTTTTTGGCTCTTCTAACAAGATTTAAGGCTAATGAAATTTTAGCACTGAAAGGATGTGCTGAATGGAAGTCGATGTAACGATTGGAGTGTGTGGGCTTTCGGTAGATGGATACATTTTTCACTAAACAATCTAAGAAAGGAAGCTCACCATGTTCATTTTCATTCGTGAATTTGATATGAGATGAAAGTGTATTTATCTGTTTTGAAAATGATCTTAGATGCATCTTTTCTGTCACTACAAATGTGTCATCTACATATCTAAGCCAAATTCGTGGTTTAATGTGGTTGGTGAAAATCTTTGATTCTATGTGTGTCATAAAAAGGTTGGCAACAATCGGGGACACAGGGGAACCCATCGCTACACTATTTGTTTGTCTGTATAGCGTTTCGTTGAAGGTGAATAGAGTTGAATTTAAGCAAAGTTTTAACGATCTCATGATTAAACTAATGCTTAACGGACATCTGTCCGACAAATAAATAAATTTAGCGGATAAGTAACAAGTTAAGCAAAATGAATATTCTGTCGTTTTGCTTTTGTCCTAAAAACAATCATGCTATTACACTTGGTATTGTTTGTTTGGATCTTCCCATCGATGTGTTTCGGACTGCAACTGGTCAGTCTCTAATTGGCATATGTGCATACTGTGCGTATTGCCTCGATATACCTTAATTCACAAGCATGGTAAGCAGAGATGGATAGTGGCTAGCAGTGGAATCCAGTTTAATGCGCGTTTCGTCCTATTTGGGACTCGTCAGCTGGATGTACCTGCATCTCAGAGTTGATGTTCACTTTGGGACTCGAACCCAGTACCCTCGCTTCAAACGCCATCGCGTTATCCACTCGGCCACTGAGTCCTTATAGCCACAGTATGCACATATGCCAATTAGAGACTGACGCGCGTCCTGGATTCCACTGCTAGCCACTATCCATCTCTGCTTAATCATGTTATTAGTTTTTTATTTTAAATTTTATTCATTGAATTACATTTTATCTCAATGTTCCCTATCCTTTTCATCCTTGAAGTATTGTAATGTAGTTGTCTGATTTATCCATTCACTTACATTAGATCCACTTTTACATTTATTCATAGTATCTCTACAACCATACTAGCTTAAAAAATCACAACACCTATGTTAATTTAAATTGTAATGACCATGAATGGTCCCGTTGTTGATATTTTGACTGAAATTTGGTTATTCTTAGTTGGCATATGTATATCCTGTGCGGATTGCTTTGATGTACCGATTATCATACAAATCTATAAAAAAAAATAGATGGAATGTGGCTAGAAGTGGAATCCACAATGCCTATTTCGTCCTATTTAGGACTAGTCAGCTTTCTGTCCGTGCGTTCGAGAGTTGATGTTCGCTCCGTGTTGAGACTCCACATCAGTGCATATTCACTAGCCGAACCAATGATGCGCGGCCGGAATCCAATGATAATGTTATAATCTCCACAGAACTATATTCTGATAATAATCATATACTCACTAATGACTACCTTTAAAATGAAATTCATGGAGTTCTGGTAAGAAGTCATGATCAGTGAATTTCAGCCATGTCGGCTGTAAAGCAGTTTCCTATCTTAAATAGTGGAGGGTAATCGCGCAGTGCCGTGAATTGATTGAAGATGGATTCCGGTTCGTTGGTCTATATATATATATTGATATATTAATGTAATTTTTTAATTTAGAGCTGAACTAATCACCCTTTATTACCTGTTTTATTAAAGAATCACGTCTTTTAAATGTTCAATGTCTTGGTTAAGATTGATTTTTTTTAAAAAACTGATTAATTTTTTAACATCACCAACTTGTTAATTTTGTGTGTGATTATTATGTTTGCGGCTACAGAGCGAGGAAGGGTGTAGATAAATTCACCATTTATCATTTTCTTTATGTATTCCTGGCATACTTTTTCAGTCTGCTTTTTTGAACTTTATTTTCAATGTGTAACCTTTTTCAATACTAGTACTATAATATTGATTTCAATTTATTTTGTGATTCATTTTCTCGAATTTATTTGATCTTACTAATATGTTCTGGCAATTTGGACTACAACACGTTTATGCTAAGATCTACATTAATAATAACCATCAATATGGAGGGTTGTCAGTCAGTCAGTCAGTCAGTCAGCTACAACGTAAGACCGAACACATATATGCATCGGTTCAAGTTGCCATACCTCATTAGCACAACAAGATGAACACCGAATTCATAGAAATAGTTAATTTAGTGATGGTGGTAGTATATATAAGATAGGTTGTATATAAGGATATAGTATAGGAAGGAAGAACGTTATGAAGCAATTTTAATCGCAAGGTTTAAGGAAATGTAAGGAGTGTATGCACTTACGCCATTGTGATCGATTCTGAGCCATGTCACCTAGAGTCTCCAACCATTGGTTACGATAGTCACACGGGCCCCAACCGAGTAGTATGTATCTACCAACATGGCTCAGACTAGAAGTTAGTGACTTCAAGCACTGATGCCACGTTTTGGTTGTAGAGATTGTTGAATTTTATTGAAATCACAAATCAATCTAAGTTAGACAACCATTAAAAATCAGGAGAAACTAGATGCCCGTTTTAATTTAGTATGGGGTTTATTTAGAAGAGCACATCCACTATCCCAAGACAAGGAACCCAACCTAGAACCTTCAATCTTTCAAGTGAACGCTTAGTCTTTAAACCACTGTGCTGGAGTCCATTGGTTTTTATGTCTAATCTCAATCCATTCACCATATTACAAAACCATTTTCGATTGCTAACAGGGGATAATTATCAATGTATTTGTTATATCAATTGCCTATGTACGTACCCTGTTTAGCATATGAACGTGCTGATCCCCATGAATGAGTGAGGAGTGAATTATCGATCAGAGCAAGGATACGCAAAATCCATATGAGCAGTCATGAGTATTTATCAGTCCTACTATCTGTGTAGCCTAGCCAGTTAAGTTCAGAACACTAATAACAACCTCTGCAATATGAATTATTATTCTCAAACATACTGGGTTTATACACCAAAAAACTGACCACATCGTACTATAAAATAGAAAATAACATTTGTATAAGATTTAGTGAAATGTGGCTGTGAATAAGGGGAACAATAATGAATAGACTAGGGATAACCCAAGAATGGTAAATCTTAAAATAATAGTCTACAGGTCAAAATTAAGCTTATAATAAAAGGTTCATGAATATGAATAGTTTAGTTACTTGACAACTATATAATAGGTAATATACATATCATATTGGTCTATAAATAGTTCTCAATAGTGACCATTCATACATTTTCATAGGATATAACAGTATTATCAGAAGGGGTTTTGTGGAGATTTTAGTAATTTTTAGAGTTGAGATCATGAGTCAATTGAAGCTAGACCACCATGGAAAACCTGGAAGCACTGGACGGCCGTTTCGTCCTATTATGGGACTCCTCAATTGACTCATGATCTCAACTCTAAAAATTACTAAAATCTCCACAAAACCCCTTCTGATAATAATCAGGTGCTCACTAGTGACTGTCTCCTTGAGGTATTTCCTGGAGTTCTAGTGAGAAGCAGTAACCGGTGGAGTTCAACCAGGTCTGTTGTGAGATAGGAACTCACTGATGACATTGGTGAATGGTTGCTCAATTTCGTGAATCAGTTGAAGTTAGACATTAACATCCGTTGGATGCCAGCTCAGTGGTCTATCGGTTAAGGGCTTCGGCTCGAAACTGGTAGGTCCTGGGTTCGAATCTCGCTCGCGAGAGTGGGTTCGTGGATGCGCACTGCTGAGGAGTCCCATAATAGGACGAAACGGCAGTCCAGTGTTTCCAGGTTTTCCATGGTGGTCTAGCTTCAATTGACTCATGATCTCAACTCTATAAATATGACAGTATTATTTATATTAATTGATTTCTCTTATTCTCTCTCTCATTACAATCATTTTTATGTTTTATTATCTTCTTCTTATCTATTTTTATCATTTTTCTTTTTCAATAGGGTTCTATAGTCATTTTCAATTTGTTATCATCACGTTGGAATATAACTCAAACTAAAGTTAAATTAGTTTTATCATTGGCTGGTCCAATTTATCAACCAAGTTAGTATAATTTTAATCATTATATAGTTGGCTATACCATTAGGCTTTATTTTATCTTACATAAAACCGATATATACTTTTCAATTTATTATAGTTATCACCATTTTACATATATATTGTACAACAGTAACAGTTTTTATTGAATGATTTAAAGTATTATTGTTTGTTTTTTTTTAAGCAGAAGGGGATTTGTAGAGAGTTTAGTATATTTCAAAGTTGAAATCATGATTCAATTGAAGCTAGACCACCATCGAAAAGCTGGAAACACTGAACGGCCGTTTCGTCCTATTGTGGAACTCCTCAGCAGTGCGCATCCACGATCACGCACTTACGAGATTCGAACCCAGGACCTACCAGTTATGAGCCAGAGCCCTTAACCGATAGACCACTGTTTTTATCTTGATCAATCATTTGTTACCCAATAAACTTTACAGTTATTTAGTTGTTGTCAACGTATTTATTTATTTAAATACATAAATATTGATACAAGGGGGCACAAGATTTATATGCTCTTACACGGCCACGCGAATATATAATCTCTGCCACGGAAGTTCTACTCGATGCCTTCTCCTGACTTTAATGTTGTTTACGAAATTGAGAGGATGAAAAGCGAATGTCCAGCGCTTTAACCAGGTTGGTGGACACCGAAAGTTCACCTAGGTGAGTTGGAAAACTCTGATTCCAAACCAATGGTGCACATGGGCTCCAGTATCTTGAGGGAACAAATGGTGTATGAATCAATCGTTGATCACCGGCTCCCATGAGACTTCATCTCTTCACGATGCTCTACTGTCTTGTGGATCAAACTTTTAGGTCAAAGGTTCTGGGTGTGGTCCCCTAAAAAAACTTCCTGTTTCAGTTTGGGCACCTGGGCAGTATCTCAGCCCTCACACAAATCAAATGAGATTTGTGAGGCGCATATGTATCTGGTGCTTTTTGTACCAATATTTATGTGTTTAAATAATAAATAATAATAATAATAATCCATGTGAGATAGAGACAGATATCTACCTCAGTCATGATCTGTTAAATTGAGAAAAATACGAGCAATAACATCGAGTTAAAGAAAATAAGATCAGTATTGAACACTAGACAAACATGACATTGACAACTACTCGGTGATCAGTTAGTATCAATGTTAGTCGATCGTAGCCCTAATAGCTCCATGATATTGTATTAGACTGTAAAGCTGGGTAACATCGATTTTAATTTAACTGAGTTTCAATTTCTTCAATATTGTAGGTAAACTTTTCTGACAAGTGTATACTGGCACGAAACTTTAGATCTAGGTCTCCTACCAACTACCTGAAATATAGTCTGAGAGTATATTCTTCATAGCGATTTTTAAATTGATTAAAAGTAGTTTAACAATATTTTAATTCATAACTTTATTATTATGATAGTAAAACTGATGAAGTTACTTACTTCTTCCGCCTGTTACTCCCAATGGAGCATAGGCCGCCGACCAGTTTTCTCCAACCCACTCTGTCCTGGGCCTTCTTTTCTAGTTCTTTCCAGTTCTTGTTCATTCTTCTCATGTCTGTCTCTATTACTCGGCGTAATGTGTTCTTTGGTCTTCCTCTTCTCCTTCGACCTTCAGGATTCCATGTGAGGGCTTGTCTTGTGACACAATTGGGTGATTTCCTCAAAGTGTGCCCAATCCACTTCCAGCGCTTCTTCCTGATTTCTTCCTCCGCTGGAATCTGGTTTGTTGTCTCCTGCAGTAAGTTGTTGCTGATAGTGTCTGGCCATCGGATCCGAAGTATTTTCCGTAGACAGCTGTTAATAAACACTTGTATCTTCTGGATAATGGCTTTCGTAGTTCTCCACGTCTCTGCCCCATACAGAAGAACTGTCTTGATATTCGTATTGAAAATTCTAACCTTGGTGTTGGTTGACAAATGTTTTGAGCTCCAGATGTTTTTCAGCTGTAGGTATGCTGCTCTTGCTTTGCCGATCCGCGCCCTCACATCTGCATCTGATCCACCGTGTTCATCAATGATGCTGCCCAGATATGTAAAGATTTCCACATCCTCCAAAGCTTCTCCGTCAAGTGTAATTGGATTGGTGCATATTGTATTGTATCGGAGAGTCTTGCTTTTCCCTTTGTTTATATTGAGACCTACTGCTGCTACACAGGTCGTTTTCTCCTGCATTTGTTGTTGCGTTTGTGATAGAAGAGCCAGATCATCCGTGAAGTCTAAATCGTCAAGCTGCATCTGTTGAAGACTTTTCCTGGTATTGAGAGGAGAGTGATGCCCCTGTAGTTGTCGCACTTGCTCAGATCGCCTTTCTTTGGTATCTTGATGAGAAGTCCTTCTTTCCAGTCTGTTGGTACATGTTCTTCGTCCCAAATCTTACCGAAGAGGATGTGGAGTATCTTGGCAGTTGCTGTTACATTTGCTTTCAGTGCCTCTGCCGGGATGTTGTCTGGTCCCGCTGCTTTGCCACTCTTGACTTGTCTAATGGCCATGCTGATCTCTTCAATTGTTGGTGGGCCAATATCGATTGGGAGGTCCGTGGGTGCTGCTTCGATGTTGGGTGGGTTCAGTGGAGCTGGTCGATTCAAGAGTTCCTTGAAGTGTTCTACCCACCTGTTTCGTTGTTCTTCAATATCGTTGATTACTTTGCCTTCCTTGTTTTTCACTGGTCTTTCTGGTTGACGGTAATTTCCAGCAAGTTTCTTTGTTGTATCATACAGTTGTCTCATGTTTCCCTATCTTGCAGCCTTTTCCGCTGTCATCGCTAAATCTTCCACATATTTACGTTTGTCGGTCCTGATGCTCCTCTTCACTTGCTTGTTTGCCTCTGTGTATTCGGCTTGTGCCTTGGCTTTTTCTGCTCTTGTTCGGCTGATATTGATTGCTACCTTCTTGTTCCTCCTTGCTTCAATTTTATCCAGTGTACCAACAGTGATCCATTCCTTGTGATGGTGCTTCTTTTGGCCCAGAACCTCCTGACATGTTGAAACGATTGCCTCCTTGATACCTTTCCAGCTGCTCTCTATGGTGGTTCCCTCTCCATTGAGTAGGTCATGAAAGGCCTGGAACCTGTTGCTGAGGGCTATGTTAAATTCGTTGAGTTTGTCAGCATCTCGAAGAAAGGCAGTGTTAAACTTTTGTGATGTTGTCCGCGCCGTTGTCCAGTGCTTCTTGAGTTTTAGTTTCATCTTGGCGACCAGCAAATGGTGATCGGATGCTATATCAGCTCCTCTTCTGGTTCTCACATCCTCCATCGTCCTCCTGAACTTTTTGTTGATGCAGACATGGTCGATTTGATTTTGTGTAGTGTGATCCGGTGAAATCCAAGTGGCTTTGTGTATGTTTTTGTGTGGGAATATGGTGCCACCTATGACCAGTTTATTGAAGGCACATAGGTTTGCAAATCTCTCACCGTTTTCGTTCCTTCCTCCCAGTCCATATTGTCCCATGACGTCTTCGTATCCAGTGTTGTCCTTTCCAACCTTGGCATTGAAATCTCCCATTAGAATGGTCAGGTCCTTGGTTGGGCACTTCTCGAAGATTGACTGCAGCCTATCGTAGAATTGGTCTTTAGCGTCTTCATCGTAGTCGTTGGTCGGCGCATAGCATTGAATGATGTTCATTGTAATGCCCTCTCTCTTTGTTCTGAAGGAGGCTTTGATGATCCTTGGTCCATGAGATTCCCATTCTATAAGTGCATTTTGTGCTTTTCTAGACAGCATCAGTGCCACTCCTTGTGTATGTGGGGTATTTTCTTCTTCATGACCGGAGTATAACAGAAGTTCCCCTGAAGACAGTCGTTGTTGTCCAACCTGCGTCCAATGTGTTTCACTGATTCCAAGCACTTCCAGGTTGTATTTCCTCATTTCCGCAGAAATTTGGAAGACTCTGCCGGTCTCCCACATTGTCCGGACGTTCCATGTACCTATAAAAATTGTCGCTCTGGTTGTAAGAAGGTGCATCGGCCTCATGACTTGCGAATGAACTCGGCTTTCATCATGAGACGTCATTTTTCCTTCTACTCCCAGGGCAGAGTTTGAATGGTTTGAATGATTTTTTCTGGTTAGCGTTTTTTTAGCGAGTTGATTTTCTACGGGATGGGGTCGCTAACCCCATGCCCAACCCTCCTCCTTTACCCGGGCTTGGGACCGGCAGTAGCCCCTGGAGGAGCTACAGGCGGAGTTAAAACTGATGAGACGATAGTTTATAGCTGACCTTTGAGCGACCCCAAAATGACCTTGAGGAAATCCACTTACTGGGGTCTAAAGTGGGTTATAAATTAATGTGCGAAATCGGAATCAGGATATAGAGTAAGGAGTAAGGTTAAGGAATTAGAGTTAGGGTTCTCATCATGAAATAACGTCAATTGTAATGGTAAAATCCTACTTAGCCATATAGATGAATAAAAATTCATATGAAAATCCAATACTCGCTATCTTAAATGTGATTATTTCTTCAATAAATGATAGTCTCGCCCTAAACCTTAGTCATTGTTGATAAAATATGATTATCTTATGTATATCGTATATTGATCATTGGTTGACCTTTATAAGTTGAATAAAGGAAATAGAATAACTTATTAGTTAATTTATTCACATTGTTAGTTAAATTGCTTGTTTGCACTCCGTTACCTAGTTTAATCATTAATGGCTTTTGGAGAGCGGTTGACAGAAGACCTAACAATGACTCTTTCTTGAAATCGATTCGGCACCTACATAATTGATCCAATACATTGCTCAAATTGAATTAATAATGGGTAATGTACCTAGACAGTATGATGAGGTGATACTATTGAAAGTTAGATCCCTAGGTGTTATGTCCTATGCCATTGTCAAATGCCACATGACTAAATCATCACTTAGAACACCGACTTGTATGACCGTAGCCCTGTGTCATACTAACGATGCGTCAACCAGCACGAGCAGCTTAGAGTCAACTCTGAGTCCTTATTGGTTCTTATTGCCTTGCCCTGGCTATGATTGACTGTTACTATGTTTTATCTATTTATCGTTACTTCATACGTTATCAGTTTTATTTTGACTGGTAAGACTAAGTCATTTGTATTGGTTATTCGAATCCCTCCATTGATATTATGGACTGCAGTTGATCAGTCTATCTTGGAATTATGTGCATTCTTTACGGATTACCTTGATATTACCATTAAGTTACATAAACCTATCAACGGAGTTAGTTAGTGGCCAGCAGTGGAATCTTGGACAAGCGTTTCGTCCTAATTGGTATTTGTCAGCTCAGTGTACTCCAATGCTGATGTAAGGGTCCGATTCCTGATGTAGTTATCAACATGGAGCTGCAGGTAAATTCAACTGGCGAGTCCCAAACAAGACGAAACATGTTTGCTAAACTTCACTGCTAGTCTCTATCCAACTCTGCTTATAAAATAATAGGGTTCGGCATAGCCCTAACAATTGTATTCAGTTATTTTTCAAACTGCTAGTGTTTTTCTGTTTTTCTTATCTAAAAACTCAAGTTATTTTGCCAGACCGTTCAATGGCGCAAATTTATCAACGTATACACAATTATTTGGATCAAATTTCAAATATTCCCAATTATCCTTTAGTAATTATATCGATTACAGGCGGTTCTCGGGATCGAATTGTAAGCATTCACTGTTTATATTAATTAACAATTACTGTCTATATATGTTGACAACGTTTACGTTTTTGAATTCTTTAACAAAAACCTATTTCAACACTAGACGTAAGTTTGTTGTGTATGCTACTTATATTGACAAATATAAGTAGTATGTAACATCAATCAAAAGTTGAACGCCTAACATAAGTCAGTCACTTATTTAGTCACGATCAAAGTATCGTCTGGTACATATAAAGGCATCGGTTCGGATTAATAAACTAATGAGGTATGTCTACTTGGTCTTACGTTGTAAATGGCTGACTGACTAAACCGAATTAGAGCAATAATTAGGTATGATAACATTCTATTGTGATTTGATAAGATACTTATCAAGTAGAGTTTTTGAAATCCTTTTGGAAGGTGGTTTATATTCAATAGAGAAAATTGGATTAACTTAAAGCACGATTTACAGACTTCACATTTGGAATGTTGGGGGCTTTTTTGGCCAGTTTAAAATTTATGAACTTACCAATTCATCCAGCCATTTGGCTAAATAATGTTTTGGCATTTTAGATTATGTCAGTTCGTGATGAATAATCCTAAATCTAGTTCCCAACCATAATCATCAACTGAGAATCTTAATTCTAATTCCTCACACTGGTATATGGCTCTCATTTAGTCCTAGTTATTAGGTGGCCACTCTCAAGGTCACCTTGGTGTCACTCAAAAATCGTTTATAAATTATAGTCCTACCGCTTTTTTATTGAGCAAGTTAATTTTGATTCGACAGGTTATTCGTAATCAAAATGAAGGTAGACATGAATGTGCGTTGATTCAAGTTGTTAATACCAACAAGGTGAAGAATAAAGCAATCGAAACAATTGTTACATTAATGATAAGAAGACAAACTAAACATCAAGCATATGATTCAACAGGATGGAATGAATAGATGATTTCGAGGGAAAACTGTAACTGAAGATCTTGGTTAAGATGCATCTGTTCCACTGTAACTGATTGTGAGCCATTTCATCTAAATTGTCAACCATTAATCGCTGTTTGGGGATCGTTTACTAGAAACAGAATAACTGATTCATAAATTTATTTATTATGCGGAACCCGCAGTACCTTTACTCCACTAGTTACTACTGCTCATTGACAAGATTAGTATGATATTCTAGAGTTTCTATTGTGTAGCTAATTTTTTCGATATTCATTTATTTTTGGTTATTAAATGTCAAATTTACGATAGATGATTTATTCAACCGAGTTGGTCAATCGGGTGAAGTTTAAATTCACTTGGTATTGTTTACTTCAGTCTTCCCATTGATGTTTAGGACTGCAATTGATCAGTCTCTTATTTGCAGATGTGCATACTGTGCGAGTTGCCTCAATGTTGCCTTAATTCACAAGCATTATAAGCAAAAATGGATAGTGGCTAGCAGTGGAATCCAGGACGCGCGTTTCGTTCTATTTTAGACTCGTCAGCCAGATGTACCTGCATCTCAGAGTTGATGTTCACTCTGAGACTTGTGAATTAAGGCTATATTGAGGCAATGAGCACAGTACGCACATATGAAAATAAGAGACTGATCTATTGCAGCCCTAAACATCAGTGGAAAGAGTCAAGTAAACAACACCAAGTGAATTTAAGTTCACCCTCATCACACAAGCAAGTGGCTATCAGGACTCAGTAGCTGAGTAGATAAAGCGATGGCGTTTGAAACGAAGGATATTCGGTTCGAGTCCCAAAGTGAACATCAACTCTGAGATACAGGTACATCCAGCTGACGATTCTCGAATAGGACGAAGCGCTAGTCCTGGATTCCACTGGTAGCTACTATCTATCTTTGCTTATAATGCTAAGAACTTTTACAAATTGTACCGTATACATTTTAGTAAGAACTTATCAAAATGATTTTCAAAATGTTTCTAGATGGAGATGATTAATTAAGAGAGATGAATTTTTTTCGCTGTACGTAAATTACTATTTTTAAGGTCATTTATGACTTAATTATGAATAGCTTGTGATTTATTGTAATCGTGTCACTGATGGATGTAATCTTGTGCGTTTTTAAGCCATAGAACAATACAATGTATAGAAAGTCTTCTATCTTCCTATTCCTCTTGACCGTTGGAGAGAGAAGGAGCTATGTGAACCAATAGGGTTAGTATTTCCGCTTGTTGTTATAAGTCTTTTTTATTATCGTTTAATGTAAAGGACATTCGTCTAGTTAGCATAAATCTAACTCTTTATTTAATAGACTATAATCTGTAACATACAGTCTTTAGGTCTGTGTTTAGCCTGAAGATACTTTATATTTTATGGAGTCTGCGAAGTGGTTTGTACAGGAGAATCTGGAAGAAAAAGGGTGACTCAACGATTCAGTAAACACACAGAATACACTTTCCTACGGTAATGCAGGAAATTGACAATAGTCAGTAATAATTAGAGGATAAAATATAAACTATCCAATAATAGAAACAAGAAATTGATAGCGTATGGTTTCAAATGCGTTACGAATCAAATAATCATATTTAGTTGGTAACGTATTAAGTTTTAATTTGTCAACAAGAACGTGTACATTACACCTACACATATATACACATATTGTAATTTTTATTTCTGTAGGTTCCTGATTTACTTGGGAATATTGATCAAGTTTATCCTGCTTTAAATTCACTCAGTTTATCCACATCTGCAATTCAGTATGTTTGGGCGTCTTGTGATCATCGATGTATTCTTTGGTAAGTTATATAAAATTCAATGTTTCAGCTAAGTTGACTGAGTTGTAATTGACACATTTATTGAATACAGGTTTTGTGTACTTAGCTTTGAATCATACTTTTTGATGCTAACTTTAGTGGGATTAGTATGTATACTGGGATTCGAACATTCAATCGAGTGAGAAGTTAAAGAATTGAATACTTTGATCACGACTTCACATATTTTCTACTCACTCGCATCATTTGTGGATTAGGTGAGATGTATGTCTGCCAAATAAAAGATGAGTTTACTGTGCAACAAATTGCTTCGTACTACTTGATGATAGTGTAACGTGTTGTTTAAAATTAAAGAATATTCGTAGGTTACTAGTATTTGATCATAGATATCTTCAAAACATCGCTCGTGTATCTTGGCACCATCCAATTAGCAATTTTGAGGTTAGAAAAAACCCAAGCTACTCCTCAGAAGTGTACATACACGACCTCACCGAGCATCAAACCTAGTACTTTCAGGTCTTGCAGTAAGCTATTAATCTCTAGACTATTGGATCGGCATGCAATTGTTTCCATGTTTAACTCCAATCAATTGATAATGTTAAGGAGTTGTATTGTAGCTGTAAATAATTCCCCAAAATCAATAACTCTGTAAGTGTTCGACATTGGATGCTGATTACATTAATTTTAGTGGACTTGTTTAGCTGAAGTCGCTTCGTCATGCATCCGTACCAGATCATGTTACAACTCAGCGTGGGAAACATCTCCTACGACTATTAGCCATATTAGATCAATCGCTCCTCGATATATTGATAACGCATCAAATATATCTTCCAACCTCTTCGCTTCTGACTTTTGATTTTAACTGGGTGGGTACGATTCGGTTATAAAAGGTGTAACTGGTTAATAGTTGTTAAACTACAATAATGGTGGTAGTATATTCAGTATGTTAGGACACAATAGTCTTCCATTGCTTCCTAGTTTTCAATAGACTTGTTATATCCCCTGGCGAATTATGAATCATAAATCTGAGGTCCATTTATGGACAAATGTAATACGCCTATTCCTATTGGATAGTTGTTAAATAAGTGACCTTAATATGAGGTCTCATACGTTATAACAAGACTGAAATCAGTCCATGATTGTAACTACTATTTAATTATCGACCACATTTTTATGTTTATTTCTTTATTTTATTTGTCTTTATGTGATTGATTATTTCTCTCATTGATTTTCTCTATCTCTTTATTTATTATAAAAAAAGGGGAAAGAAAAAAAAACAAAACCGAAACAATTTTTTTTTCATCTCTTTTTGTTATAATTATCATTCAATAGTGTATTTTTTTTCTGTTCTCCATTATGATAGGTGTTTACAATTGATGTTGGTATTAAACAAAGGTTTACTTGTACATAATTCAGTGAGTTATCTATTTTTTCGTTGCTCCATGTTTTCTCTTTCTCCCTCCCTCCCTCCCTCCCAACGTTTTTTTTATCCTCCTTTTATGGATTGTTTCTAGGTTAAACTTGTTCACAAGGTTTGTGTTGTTGTTGTTGTTGTTGTTGTGTTGTACATGTGTATACATTTTTTATGAAAGTGAACAGTGTTTATTATTATAATTAACGGTATAATAAAAAAATATATTGCCAATGCCTCAGCAATGCATAAAATATTGATGCGACCCCCCCCTTTTGATCCGGTTCTTTTGACTCTATAGATTACTTCCACTGAATCGAAAGAGGAACTTAATTAACTCAGAAGGGGATTTGTGGAGATTTCAGTATATTTCAAAGTTGAAATCATGAGTCAATTGAAGCTAGACCACCATCGAAAACCTGGAAGCACTGGACGGCCGTTTCGTCCTACTATGGGACTCCTCAGCAGTGCGCATCCACGAACCCGCTCTCGCGGGTTCGTTTATCCTTTAGGATCAAGCGAATCTGTTCCAATGACACAATAAATGAAGAACTACTTCATCTTCGACAGACCCTTATCAAAAACGGTTATCCACCTAGGTTCGTCGATTGCAACTTAACATCTAGACTTCATCAAGAAAAAAGCTTTGATAGTGCAAAAGAAAACTTTGTTTATGAATATAGAATTTAAAGGAGACACGGCTGCTGAAATCCTGAATAAATGGATTTCAAAATCGTTGAATAAAACTTTCTACACAGACAAGCTTCGAAACGTTTTCTCTAGCCGGCCTACCATTTGGGGGTGTGTTAGGGATAAGCTTTCGCTTTGGGCCATAACGACGTGTATCTATAAATTTACTTGCTCTTGTGGGGCACGTTACATAGGTCACACAAAGTGATCGCTTTCCAAACGCATCTCGGGACACTATCCGGCTTGGCTCCAAAAAGGAGAATGTAAGAAAGATAACTAGTTCGATACAAGAGCATTTGATCAATTGTGGACACATTGCTCCAAAGGACTCTTCTTTTAAAGTAATCTAGAGAGTCAAAGGAACCGGATCAAAGGGGGGTCGCATAAAAAAATGTAAATTTTCTACTATTTGGAACTTATCTAGTGAATACACTTGATATTTTTTTTAGAACTGTTATTCATACTGAGAGTTGAATCTAGTATCTTTAAGCACCAACGTACTATTCATTAAGTTATTAAACTCAAGAGGTTATTAATTTTATGCTTTCTAAGATTAACAGAAACATAATGCAATTAGTTCTCTTTATTTAGAAACATAATGACTATTCATGTTCAGTGTGAATTTTACATTTTAGTCCAAAGTACTTCTTTTTCAATTACCAATAAGTGATGAGGTAGGTAGTGACTAGAGATGTACATCAGATGCTTCATTCATTTAAGTTGATTTGCTAATTTTACTAATTACCTTATACCTAATACATAAACAGTGCTTTGAAGATAGCTAACGTTGAATAGTAGTAGTGTACGGACACCTTTTATCGTAAAAAGTCGCATTTCACCACCTTAGCCCTCATACAGAGGAGTCTGCTTTTCATTATACTCGCCTCTGGACAATTGAATTGTTGAATATTAAAGATTCCCATTGTGAAAATTAGAACAACATATGTAATTTAATTGTTGTCATATCACTTTCTTCAAAGAAAAAAAGTGAATAAAATATTTGTGTTTAACTTTCTGAAGCATGAAAGTCAGTCTGTCAGTCACAACGTAGAACTTCGTACGTACGCACATCAGTTCGAGTTGCCATACCACATCAGCACAGAGATGCAGTTGTCGATTCAAATCCCATAGTGGTAGAAGTAGTAAGAGTATAAGCAGTAAACCGAAAGATTAGGGTTTGAAGATGTTATTCAAGGAGTATAATCCAGCGAAGTAAATTTGGAAAGAGAAAAATTATAAAGACATGAAGAATTCAGAAGATTAGAATTTGGTAGAACACAAAGAGTGGATGCACCTTCGCCATTGCAAACGATTTTGAGCCATGCCATTCAAGGTCTCTAACCATCGATTGCTATCATCTCGCGTATCCCAACAAGGTAGTCTACACCTATCAGCATGGCTCAGTCCACTTGTTAGCGACTTCATGGATTTGTGCCACATTTTGGTCTGTCTGCCCCTAGCTTTCTTCCAACCTACTTCTACACCATGAAACATTGCGCATCGTGGCAGTCGGTAGACGGGCATACGTAACACGTGTCCCAGCCATCTCAACTGATGAAGTTTCACCACTTCATCAATCGATTTGCCATCCTTACCTAGTACTCGTTTCCTAACAACCTCATTACGTACTTCGTGGTCCCAGGATATACAAGCAATGCTTCGAAGGCACCAACAATATAAAAATGCCATTTCATGGAGCATGAAATGTTCCTGAACTAATATGGGCTACTTGGTTGAGGTCAGTCCAACTTACTACTCCTACAGAAACAAAAGAATTAAAGCTATTTGCCTGTAATGGATGCGTGGTACCAATCTATGCATATGTTTATTCTATGAATGGATCGATTCTGAACTTGTATATTTCTAGTGAGTATGTAGCTCGAATATCCAAAGAAAAAACCAGTAAATTCTCCTTTGCAATTTGGTGATAAATTGCTACGTCCTTGGCCTGCCTACCCACTTCTATGTAGAGGATAATTTGTCCAAATCTAGACTAAGACCTTTACGCGATTTGCTGACCGGCTTAACCTTGAGGCTAGTATGCGTGAGTTTTAAGTGAGATCAACTGCTTGGGGTAGAGAGAAAATAACTTCTCTACCACCTGATTGACGGACAAGCACGAGTGAGAGACCACATGTCAACCGGATCACTACTCGATTTATTCCCAATTCCGATTTGGTTCCCAATTCAGATTAGTGTATAAAGGTACATGAATAAATAGATGACTAACCAGACCATAACTCACAAGCAATTAGGAAAATGTGATTACATCCAAAACTGGGGATTAGAGTACAAAAGATTAGGCTATGTCAGTGAATTAAATGACTTAAACAAAAGCTTATGGTCTGTAAAATAGAATAGAGACAAAAGTAAATGTTACGGTTTTACAAGTTTTTAGTTAAATGAAATAACACCCCCAAAACTAGCTTACGTAGTTTGTAAAGGCTTCTAGTTTCACTGTTCACATCATAAATGATTCCCCAGTTAGTTTACTGCTAAATTAAATTACCATTATCTTCAGGTAAATCAATCGGCTTTCCAGAAGACTTTATCAAACTTTATGTTTGAAAGGGTCACGATACAAAACAGAAAAAGGAAAAAAATACCAGTCTAGGGTTGTGGGAATTGTTGAGCATTAGACAGCCGTTTCGTCCTAGTACGGGACTCCTCAACAGTACTCACTCACTGTTCCTCACTCCGAATCAGAACTCAGGACTTTCGGTCTTGCGCGCAAAAGCTTACTGACAATTATTATGTTCTCACTAGTGATTAGCTTCGAGAGGTTATTATCGGAGTTCTAATGAGAAGCCGTGACCGGTGGAGCTAATTTATATCGTGGGTGAGGCAGTTACCCTCTAAAGACAATGGAAAATGGTTAGATATTAACACCGTTGAATACTAGTTCAATGGCCTAGAGGTTAGACGTTTACGTGGAATTCCAAAGGTCTGTGATTCGGATACCGCGTGTGGATTCGCGAATTCAAACTGTTGATGAGTCCCATACTAGGACGGAGCTGCCGCCCAGTGCTTTCAGGTTAACAATGATGCTCTAACATTGATTGATTCATGATCTCAATCAAAAAGGAAAAAGTTTTACATCAGATCACATGAAACCTTAATCGAAGATACAATGTGAATATGAGTTATGTATATATTACAATTTGACTCATCATTTTATTATACCAACCATTAAACATGATGGTTTCATCTTAAATGTACAATTATCTACTTAATTTATTGTTTCCTGAATTAATTTTTATATTTCAGTTTTTCATAGATGCATATATAGACTAATTTTTTAATGTTATGCATGGTCACTAAAAGTTGGTTATAGTTTTGTTCTCTATTCATTCTTCATACGTATATATATATATTGTAAATGAATCATTGAGAATAGTTGACCTGGATTTCTCATTACTAACTGTACATCAATAACTCCGCCTGTAGCTCCTCCAGGGGCTACTGCCGGTCCCAAGCCCGCGTAAAGGAGGAGGGTTGGGCATGGGGTTAGCGACCCCATCCCGTAGAAAATCAACTCGCTAAAAAAACGCTAACCAGAAAAAATCATTCAAACCATTCAAACTCTGCCCTGGGAGTAGAAGGAATAATTATGACGTCTCATGATGAAAGCCGAGTTCATTCGGAAGTCATGAGGCCGATGCACCTTCTTACAACCAGAGCGACAATTTTTATAGGTACATGGAATGTCCGGACAATGTGGGAGACCGGCAGAGCCTTCCAAATTGCTGCGGAAATGAGGAAATACAACCTGGAAGTGCTTGGAATCAGTGAAACACATTGGACGCAGGTTGGACAACAACGACTGTCTTCAGGGGAACTTCTGTTATACTCCGGTCATGAAGAAGAAAATGCCCCACATACACAAGGAGTGGCACTGATGCTGTCTAGAAAAGCACAAAATGCACTTATAGGATGGGAATCTCATGGACCGAGGATCATCAAAGCCTCCTTCAAAACAAAGAGAGAGGGCATTACAATGAACATCATCCAATGCTATGCGCCGACCAACGACTACGATGAAGACGCTAAAAACCAATTCTACCATAGGCTGCAGTCAATCTTCGAGAAGTGCCCAACCAAGGACCTGACCATTCTAATGGGAGATTTCAATGCCAAGGTTGGAAAGGACAACACTGGATACGAAGACGTCATGGGACAATATGGACTGGGAGGAAGGAACGAAAACGGTGAGAGATTTGCAAACCTATGTGCCTTCAATAAACTGGTCATAGGTGGCACCATATTCCCACACAAAAACATACACAAAGCCACTTGGATTTCACCGGATCACACTACACAAAATCAAATCGACCATGTCTGCATCAACAAAAAGTTCAGGAGGACGATGGAGGATGTGAGAACCAGAAGAGGAGCTGATATAGCATCCGATCACCATTTGCTGGTCGCCAAGATGAAACTAAAACTCAAGAAGCACTGGACAATGGCGCGGACAACATCACAAAAGTTTAACACGGCCTTTCTTCGAGATGCTGACAAACTCAACGAATTTAACATAGCCCTCAGCAACAGGTTCGAGGCCATTCATGACCTACTCAATGGAGAGGGAACCACCATAGAGAGCAGCTGGAAAGGTATCAAGGAGGCAATCGTTTCAACATGTCAGGAGGTTCTGGGCCGAAAGAAGCACCATCACAAGGAATGGATCACTGTTGGTACATTGGATAAGATTGAAGCAAGGAGGAACAAGAAGGCAGCAATCAATATCAGCCGAACAAGAGCAGAAAAAGCCAAGGCACAAGCCGAATACACAGAGGCAAACAAGCAAGTGAAGAGGAGCATCAGGACCGACAAACGTAAATATGTGGAAGATTTAGCGATGACAGCGGAAAAGGCTGCAAGATAGGGAAACATGAGACAACTGTATGATACAACAAAGAAACTTGCTGGAAATTACCGTCAACCAGAAAGACCAGTGAAAAACAAGGAAGGCAAAGTAATCACCGACATTGAAGAACAACGAAACAGGTGGGTAGAACACTTCAAAGAACTCTTGAATCGACCAGCTCCACTGAACCCACCCAACATCGAAGCAGCACCCACAGACCCCTCAATCGATATTGGCCCACCAACAATTGAAGAGATCAGCATGGCCATTAGACAAGTCAAGAGTGGCAAATCAGCGGGACCAGACAACATCCCGGCAGAGGCACTGAAAGCAAATGTAACAGCGACTGCCAAGATACTCCACATCCTCTTCGGTAAGATTTGGGACGAAGAACAAGTACCAACAGACTGGAAAGAAGGACTTCTCATCAAGATACCAAAGAAAGGCGATCTGAGCAAGTGCGACAACTACAGGGGCATCACTCTCCTCTCAATACCAGGAAAAGTCTTCAACAGATGCAGCTTGACGATTTAGACTTCGCGGATGATCTGGCTCTTCTATCACAAACGCAACAACAAATGCAGGAGAAAACGACCTGTGTAGCAGCAGTAGGTCTCAATATAAACAAAGGGAAAAGCAAGACTCTCCGATACAATACAATATGCACCAATCCAATTACACTTGACGGAGAAGCTTTGGAGGATGTGGAAATCTTTACATATCTGGGCAGCATCTTTGATGAACACGGTGGATCAGATGCAGATGTGAGGGCGAGGATCGGCAAAGCAAGAGCAGCATACCTACAGCTGAAAAACATCTGGAGCTCAAAACAATTGTCAACCAACACCAAGGTTAGAATTTTCAATACAAATGTCAAGTCAGTTCTTCTGTATGGGGCAGAGACGTGGAGAACTACGAAAGCCATTATCCAGAAGATACAAGTGTTTATTAACAGCTGTCTACGGAAAATACTTCGGATCCGATGGCCAGACACTATCAGCAACAAGTTACTGTGGGAGAGAACAAACCAGATTCCAGCGGAGGAAGAAATCAGGAAGAAGCGCTGGAAGTGGATTGGGCACACTTTGAGGAAATCACCCAATTGTGTCACAAGACAAGCCCTCACATGGAATCCTGAAGGTCGAAGGAGAAGAGGAAGACCAAAGAACACATTACGCCGAGAAATAGAGACAGACATGAGAAGAATGAACAAGAACTGGAAAGAACTAGAAAAGAAGGCCCAGGACAGAGTGGGTTGGAGAAAGCTGGTCGGCGGCCTATGCTCCATTGGGAGTAACAGGCGGAAGTAAGTAAGTAACTGTACATCAATAAATGAATTCATAGTTTTCTTTTGAATTCAATACATGTATATATATGTAAACATCTAACATCTAGACCACTGAACTGGCATCTAACTGTGTTAATATCTAACAATGCGACTATCCTCCATCGTCTTTGGTGAGTAACTGCCTCATACCCAGTATGAATTAGCTTCACCGATCATGGCTTCTCACAAGAACTCCGAGAGTAATCTCTCGAAGATAATCACTAATGAGCACATTATAATTGTTAGTAAGCTTTCGCGTGTGAGATTAAAGGTCCTGTGTTCTAGTTCAGATTGAGGGATCGCGGATGAGTACTGTTGAGGAGTCCCATACCAAGACAATGTAGGTTCACTAAAATATACATACTTGTATATATAAGATGAACAACAGAAGTCATATTCATCAAAACTTTATCAAACATAGATAATCAAAGTGTGACACACTAGCTATTTATACAATATACCAAATGGTAACATTTAGTATTGTTTGTTTGGCAAGTGGCTATCAGGACTCAGTAGCTGAGTAGATAACACAATGGCGTTTGAAGCGAAAGGTACTGGGTTCTAGTCCCACAGTGAACATCAACTCTGGGATGCAGGTACATCCAACTGACGAGTCCCAAATAGGATGAAACGCGCGTCATGGATTCCACCGCTATCCACTATCCATCTTTGCTTCCAAACGGTAACATGTTTACATAGAAACAATGAAAGCTATTGGATTCGATTTGTGTCATAATTATGTTGGTGCTCACTTCTCATGAGGAGTACAAAATTAGACTAAGACAGTTGTTAAGTTCATGTTGATCTTCATTGGTTGAATTTGAAAAAAGTCATACCAAGAGTAAGAAGAATTACACTGGGCTCTTGCTTTTTTGTGGAATTCTTTGCCATTGGTCCCATTCAACTTTATAAGAGACTGGCTTTAAAATTTAAAGGTCATCGAGTGAGGATTACACTTTTTAGTTATTGATTTGTAGTTTAATCGTCATCCAGTTTCGTTAATGAGATCATTATTTATAGCTCAGGTGAATCCTTTCAATGTTATTGAGTTCTCTAAGATAGATTGATTGAATTATGGAGTTTTCATTGTCGTTTATTAAAGCATCATCAGTGCCTACTTCATGTAGAAGTGAGCGTGTTTGATTATTCCACAAGTTTCATATCGAATCGTCTTAATGATCTGGTTTTTCCAATAGTTTGAGTTTTATACTTTTGTAGTGAACAAATCTATGATTACATTCAACCCTGATATAGATAGGAACGTATCAGTCTTACTCATAGTCTTGTCTTTATGAGTTCCTTCCCTTGAATGATTGATTTTACATACTAACTTCTGTGTTACATCTTATGTCATAAATCCCATGCAACATCACATTTACCCGTTAGTGATTACATATCAATATTGTTGAGAATAGAGACATTGTCTTTCTTTCCCAAAGATACTTTTTCTAAAAAGACAGACCAGTAGTTAGTTTCTATTCCATGTGATTGAACAACTTTATGATGTGATTGGCACCCGATTAGTCTTAAGTTACAACTCTCCCTACTAGTCCTAAAGGTCCTTAGTTCTATCAGGAGATGGTGAGTGTACGCATTGCTGATGAATCCCTTACTTACTTACTTACGCCTGTTACTCCCAATGGAGCATAGGCTGATGAATCCCACATTATGTCAAAATAGCTGTCCAGTATTTCTTCATTTGCAAATATCATCTACTCTGTCCTGTGAACTGGCAATTGAACAATCTTCAAAAACTTCCTATTTCATGGAGACCATTAAAGGATCTGCCTAACAAAACTACTACTAACAATAGTAAATGTTTCAATCTTATCATTGAATGTCCACTCTTTTTTTCTTCAGCTTTCTTCAGATCCTAGTAGTCGGTTGAATGTATTTCGTAATCTACTTATTACAAGACCTTTGTTATCGCATACCATTCATCATGATCAGGATAATGATCAAGAATCCAATTTCAAATTGTCACAAATAATTTCATCATCAAATATGTTTTGGATTGATAAAACAAATCAAACAAATTCTATCATGAATTTTTATGTGGTAAGTATGTGTTTTGTATATTACATATTTTTTTAAAAATTTATGTACATCACTGACAAGTGGACTGAGCCATGTTGGTAGGTGTAGACTACCTGGTTGGTATTCGCGAGATGATAACAATCGATGGTTAGAGACCTTGAATGACATGACTCAAATTCCTTTGTAATGGTGAAGGTGCATCCACTCTTTGTGTTCTCTCAAATTCTAATCTTCTGAATTCTTCATCTCCCTTCTTTTTTATCTTTCCAAATTTATACTCCTTGAATAACATCTTCAAACCCTAATCTTTCGGTTTACTGCTTATACTCTTACTACTTCTACCACTATGGGATTTGAATCGACAACTGCATCTCTGTACTGATGTGGTATGGCAACTCGAACTGATGTGCGTACGTACGAAGTTCTACGTTGCGACTGACTGAAATCAAACTAAAAAATTGAATTAAGAAACTTCTACCCAAAGTTTGTGCTGATGATGTCGTTCAGAAAGACGATGAAAGCTTCAAGACCAAATTATCCAGCTTAGAGAACAAAACACCATCAAAAACGTAGTATTCATTTGTAACATACAGAATACTTAAATCGCTGGATTAACCTTGTACATAGGTAATTGATATGACACTTATACACTTACTGGGCCAAATAATGAAAAAAAGAACGATAACTTTATAACTAATTGGATTCTAACACTTTGGCTTTTGTCAACTTACGTCACCTATGGCGAAGACGAGATATCCGTCTATCAATTAAGGGACGACTCGTAAGTTACTAGTATTTGACCGCAGATGCCTTAGAAATATTTCTGCGATCCGCTGGGATCACCGGGTAAGTAATAGTGAGGTTAGACACGCAAGGTATTGGGGAATGATAGTCAATCAGTCGATGAGGTGATGAATCTTCATCGACTGACATGGTTGGGCCACGTGTTACGTATGCCTGAACACCGATCATCACGACACTTAATGCTGACTAGTATTGGGGATGGTTGGAAGAGAGTTAGGTGGAGAGCCAAACCAAAGCGTGTCATCAGAGCTTGAAGTCACTTATTTCTAGTTTGAGCCATGTTGATAGATGCGGACTACCTGGTTGGGGTCCGCGTGACTATTGTAAGCAATGGTTGGAAAATCTAGGTGACATGGCTCAGAATCGATCACAATGGCCTAGGTGTATACACTCTTTATCTTCTCTTAAACCTTGAGATTAAAATTGCTTCATATCTGTCTTTCTTTCTGCACTACATCCTTATATACAACCTTTCTTTTATATATTACCACCGTTAAATTAACTACTTCTATGAATTCGGTGTTCATCTTTTGTTCTAATGAGGTGTATCAACTTGAATCGATGCATATATATGTCTGGTCCTACCTTGTAGCTGATTGACTCATACTTTATTTTACGATTCAGGTCAACAGTTAAAGATTACACGTATTGATTTGACTGACTTTACAATTTGTTTTCACCTTACTAAATTACTAATTAACATAAAACATCGAGGTAGGTGATACATATATTCCAACTACTTCGCTAAGTGAAGTATCATTGCTTTGTTAATCAACTTATCATTTGAATCTATTGTCAATACCTTAAGTGCACATCATTACTCATTTGATGATTTCACTATTCTCTATTAATACTCGAGTATTTTCAGTCCACGTTTTTTGCTTCTACATTGAAAGACTATATTTTATCGTGAAAAATTTAATAATAAACAACCTGTTGTTCAGTAAATTCATCTTTACATTCATAGTTGTGTATAGCTGTTAGCTAACTACTGTACATTTTATCAAAATAGTTATTTAGAGTTTAATTCTACTGAAGATACCACCTGTATTGTAGTTTGACAACTGTTTACCAGTAACACCTTTTATAATCGAATCGTACCCACCCAGTTAAAATCGGAAGTGAGAAGCAAAGAGGTTGAAAGATATATTTGATGCGTTATCAATATATCGAGAAGTGACTGATCTAATCTGGCTAATAATCGTAGGAGATTTTTCCCACGCTGAGATGTAACGTGATTTCATACGGATGCATGACCGAGCGACTTCAGCTAAACAAGTCCACTAAAATTAATGTAATCAACATCCAATGTCGAACACTTACAGAGCTACTGATTTTGGGGAATTATTTACAGCTCCACTACAACTCTATCTTTTCAGTCAGTGGTCTTGAGTGCTGTTAGAGGTATGAGGGCATTTATCACTTCCCGGTTGCCCACACCGTGGAAGGCTTCTTCTAGAGGTACCTGAAAAGGAAATAAATAAATTTTACCATTTCCTTTTCTACATACATTTCACACATGATCAATAAAGCATGGGAATCATCCCATATTTTTTTTGCTCAAAACAGTCTATTAAACTACTGATGGTCAGACGAAAGGTCATAAGTAGTATTTATGACTCACATAACTATGTGGATGAAATAACAGAGTATAACATATCCAGGTCAATGGATAACAGATGTGACACTTTTTACTACAAAACTATGTAATACATTTCTAGTTAACTGACGATTAGTTTTTCAATATTAAGGGTTTTGTGAAGATTAAAGAATTTCCATAATATAAATCATAATCTAACAATTTGGAAGTATTGAATGACCGATTTTTCCCGAATGTGCGGTTATAGATGTACAATTCTAAGGAATCCTATACCAGGAAAAAACGGTTTTCATTACTGGTCTCACTAGTATCATATTATGATTTATCCTATTCATATTCTAGATTCTTCAAAAAACCCTATACTTCTGACTAGTGACTAACTTCAAGATAGAACTCATGGTATCCTAGTGAGAAGGCGTAGTCAGTGTAGTTCAACCGTGTGGAATATGAGACAGTTACCTATGACAGGTAATGAATAACGGTTGTGGATTATCGTCAACCGAGTGAAATTAGACATTAACACCGTTAGATCTTAGGTCAAGTAGTCTAGGGGTTAAGAGTTCACGCACAAAACTGAAGGTCTTACCGCTTGTGACAGAGTCGTGAATGAACACTGCTGTTAAATACCATACTAGGATGAAGCTGTTGTTTAGTTCTTTCAGGTATTCAATAGTGGTCTATTTATTTATTTTATTTGAACACATAAATATTGATACAAGGAAGCATCAGATACATATGCGCTGCACAAATCTCATTTGATTTGTGTGAAGGTTGTGATACTGCCCGGGTGCCTAAACCGAAGTAGTGATCTAGATAAGATGAGTTTGTAATATAATGACAATTTTCCTTATTGGTAAATGTTTACAGAATAATTTACCAACTACTGTAAATACTACTGTAAATCTTATCTATCGATAAAAACAATTCTGAACTTGTTTATCTTTTTTTCTTTCATACCAAAATGAAGAAGGTATATGACTTCTAGAAATATCTACCATTATTGCTATGGAAAGACGTATTCATGTTTTTATCATTAAAAAAAAAACAGTTACCTTAGTTACTGAACACATTATCTACTAATCTTTCTTTTCTATAATAGTAATCGACTACGTTAGTGATTCACCTTCAAAGAATAAATTAAATAGATTTATCAATGAGAATCTTACCCAAAAAAGAAAGGTCATAAGGTGGTGACTAGTTAATAGTCATCTATTATTATTTTGTTCATTTAATGTGTTATATCGTGTGTGTGCATATGTGTACCCTGTTTGATATATGAAGTGATGATCTCCGCCTATTAGAGAGGAGTGAATTATTGATCAGAACAATGATACATGAAAACCGTACGAGCAGTCTAGAGTACTTATCGGTTCTGCTTTCTACCTAGCTCAGCCAGTTAAGTTCAGAACACTAATAACAGTCTCTGCAATATGAATCATTATTCTCAAACATATTGGGTTTATATACCAATCAAACTGACCACATCATAACATAAAATAGAAAATAACATTTCTACAAGTTTTGGCCAAATGTGGTTGTGAATGTGGGGAGCAGTAATTAATAGACTGGGTATAGCTCAAGAATGGTAAATCGTATAATAATAGAATTCACTTAGTATTGTTTGTTTGGATCTTCCCATCGATGTGTTTAGGACTGCAACTGGTCAGTCTCTAATAGGCATGTGTGCATACTGTGCGTATTGCCTCAATATACCTTAATTCACAAGCATGGTAAGCAGAGATGGATAGTGGCTAGCAGTGGAATCCAGTTTAATGCGCGTTTCGTCCTATTTGGGACTCGTCAGCTGGATGTACCTGCATCTCAGAGTTGATGTTCACTCTGGGACTCGAACCCAGTACCCTCGCTTCAAACGCCATCACGTTATCCACTCGGCCACTGAGTCCTATTAGAGACTGACCAGTTGCAGTCCTAAACACATCGATGCGAAGATCCAAACAAACAATACTAAGTGAATTTAAACTTCACCCCATCGCACAAGTAAGTGGCTATCAGGACTCAGTGGCCGAGTGGATAACGCGATGGCGTTTGAAGCGAGGGTACTGGGTTCGAGTCCCAGAGTGAACATCAACTCTGAGATGCAGGTGCATCCAGCTGACGAGTCCCAAATAGGACGAAACGTGCGTCAAACTGGATTCCACTGCTAGCCACTATCCATCTCTTCTTATTGTATAATAATAGTCTATAGATCAAAATATAGCTTATAATAAGAGGAATACGAATAGGAATAGTTTAGTTACTTAATAATTATACAATAGGAAATATACATATCACATTGGTCCATAAACAGTCCTCAAAGGGTACCATTCATAAATCTCCACGGGATATAACATAATAAGTAAACATTTATGAATTGATGATTGTATTGAAATATTTGAATTTTCTCTCATTATATCTTTATAGCCTTATAATGGTCTGTTAGTTAAATTTGGCCCATTTTTCATCAATCCAGAACAACATATACTGATCTTGGCCAGTCATGTAAGTTATGTAATTATACAATTATTGTAGTGATTTATTTAAGTTTTATGTAAAATGTATCAAGAATTTATAAGATGAATTCAGCTTATAGTTTGTGCTCGTTATAGTTTGATCTCATTTTCAGTATCATTGAAAACTAGATACTACTGGGAAGATGTTTTGTTCTAGTGTAAGAGTTACCATAACCTCATCAAGGATCGCACTCAAGGCCTTCAGGTCTTTTGATAAACACTTAGCCATTGGAACTACTGAATCGACTTTCAGTGGTATATGCCTTAAATTTTATTTCATTTGCAATATATTATGACGATCATCTAATGCGATTGGTCAGGCTATATATATGAGCACTGTTTTGAAGTTTCATACCAGGATAATGTGACTGTTCATTTCTCCCTGGTTTTCAATAGGGATCTCCAACTGAGGTCACTCTGTTAATAATACAACTGAAAGATTTTATTAAGTGTTGTTATATTTCCAGATGTAGAATTCAATACGTAGATTTTATTTTATTCAGTGGATTTCATCCCTGATAAAGGTCTGTTTTTGATTAAAACCTGCTGAACGGTTCGCATTTCTAGACGTTATGCACCATGTTAATTATCTTTAAAATGAGTACTGACTCACCATATATGACTGGGTATTTTTTCAGTTAGTGATTAACAATAAAATCATTGGTCACTGGTGAATAATAACAATTTTGTCTTGGTTTTCTATCTCTGTATTGTACTGCTGTTACTCTACACAGACTTGAACCCAGGACTTTTGTGTTCCATAGATAAACTGTTAAGCTAATGAAGTCGTTGATTAGGCAATCGTTGGAAATAAAAAATTGAATGATTCTTTATTTGGAAGGGGTGTTTCGTGGAGATTTTAGTAGTTTAATATAGTTGAGATCATGAATCAATTGAAGCTAGACCACTATGACAAACCTGGAAGCACTGGATGACCGTTTCGTTCTGCTGAGGAGTCCCACAATAGGACGAAACGACCGTCCAGTGTTTCCAGGTTTTCCATGGTTGTCTAGCTTCAATTGACTCATGATCTGAACTATATATAATTCTTTATTTGTCTACTTTTATGTATACAAGAGTCATGATGCTACTTTCTAACAGAAAAAAAATATCTATTTTAACCTTCCTTTTTTGCAACCCTTAATTTATAGGTCTAATCTACCACACAGTAGTAACCTGTTGTCCAAATTTCTTTATCTATGATAGAGATTATTTAAATTTAACCGCTTAACCTAATGATACTTAGTAAATATTTGTTTTATATTTCGAAATTTAAAGCAGATGGTTTTTTTAGGGGGCCACACTACCAGAGTTTGACCTAAAGGTCTGACCCACAAGACAGTGGAGCATCGTGAGGAGATGCAGTCTCATGGTAGCCGGTGACCAACGATTGACTCATACGCCATTTGTTCCCTCAGGATACTGGAGCCCATGTGCACCATTGGTTTGCAATCAGGGTTTTCCAACTCACTTAGGTGGACCCTCCATGTCCACCAACCCGGTTAAAACGCCGGGCATTCGCTCTTCGTCCTCTCCCTTTCGTAAACAACACCCGTGGTGCTAGAAAGAAGTGAGTAGGACTTTCCTGTCAGAGGCTACATACGTGTGGCCATATGAGAACATTTTGAGAGGGAGAGCGGACTCCCCCCACTCTCGGCCGTACCATGGCATTTGGGGACATATCAACAGTTTTTATAACACCCATGACTGTACTAGTCATTGAATCCTTCAAGACTCTTTGGGAAGCAATAAACAAGTTAGTATACAGGGGATCTTTATTTTCAACTTTAGTTAATTGGTTATATATTAATAAAATCAGCTATTCAATCACTTAATGATGTGAAATATAATCAAATTAAATAAATGTTCACAAACCTCTTAACTTTTCAGGTACCAGAAAACTGGCTTCATTTATGCATAAAAATAAATCACATAAGTAATAAACATTGGTAAGTAGTTACAAGTTTATTTTGTCCACAGAAATTACCTGTTGTCATTGTTACAATTGAAATCATGAATTTATTTAAGCTAGAACGCCATTGGAAACCGGGAAACATTGGACACTCGTCCAGTTCTGGTATGAAACTCCTCAGCAGTGCGCATCTACGATCTCGTGTGAGGGACTCAAACCCAGGACCTTCGGTTGTTATTATCTTGGTTATTTTTTAGATGTTGTTCTTATACGTTAGGTCATGCGATGCCATGAGTCACTAACTAGTTTTATGTAGCGTAATTACATACACGAAGTAGGTTTTTAGTGAAATATACCTGGTGAAATATAGCTAGACAACAAAGTATTCTGGACAGTTGTTTAATCTTAGTTTAAAGTGTATCAGAAGTACCGATTCATGCCGATTACCAATGATTGAACCCACTATCTTCAGTTCTCACAGAGAACGCTTAGCATTTGGACCAATCAGTTAGCAATTAATGATTTACATTTCTAGCTTTAATCGATTCACCATAATACTTGATCATTATCTGCTTGTTTCACAGTTGGACTAGGTCAGTCATTAAAGTTGTGATTTTCTTATTGTTAGCTAAAATGAGATGCATGATTGAAAGTACTCTATGACCTTGAAAGCAATTCATCGTTTCTAGTTGATTCTTTAGTATTCTTTAGTTTAGCCAATATCTATCTATGATCTTTTCAATCAATTGTTCTACTTCTTTTCAATCATAGTGATTATTTTGTTCCAATCCCATCATCATTTGTCACTTTGTTACCGAATCCATTAAATGGAAAATCAATTACAGCTGGTTTAATTACATTATCAATGTTACAAAAATTACATATGTTTCATAACTTATCACTACTACTTACAAATCAAGATAGTATGGATAAGTTAAAATTGTATTTGGTAGTTTCAACGGGTATAAATCCATTTTGGGATAATGTGAGTTATATTTTGATCGGTTTTGTTTATTTTCCCTTTAAAATATTCCTATACGAGTGTGTGTCTTAAAAATGTAGGGTAATGTTATGACTTTTGCCCCTGTCAATTATCACGTGACAAAATTGTTAATCAGAATACCGACTTCTATGACTTTGTCCCTATGCTAAACCAATAATACGTTGACAAGCACAAGCAGCCTTGTCAGTCAGCCAGTCACAACGTAGAACTTTGTACGTACGTACATTAGTTCGAGTTGCCATACCACATTAACACAGAGATGAAGTTGTTGATTCAAATCCCATAGTGGTAGAAGTAGTAAGAGTATAAGTATTATGTGAAAGATAAGGGTTTGAAGATGTTATTGAAGGAGTATAATCCAGTGAAGTGAATTTGGAAAGAGAAAAAAGAAAGGGGCATGAAGAATTCAGTAGATTGCAATTTGGGAGAGCACAAATTGTGGATGCACCTACTCCGTTGCAAACGATTTTGAACCATGTCATTCAAGGTCTCTAACCATCGATTGTTATCATCTCGCGGATCCCAACCAGGTAGTCTACACCTACCAACATGGCTCAGTCCACTTGTCAGTGACTTCATGGATTTATGTCACGTTTTGGTCTGGCCACCAAAACGGGATAAGCAGCCTTGAGTAAACACTGAATCCTTATTGGTCCTCTGTATAGTAGCTTCTCTCCTTAACCCAGTCCATCCAGTACAGAACACAAATATCAGCCTATGCTGTATAGATCACATTGTTCAGATATACGTAGTTTATATACGGACATAATTGACCACAATAAAATCGGAAATAACAATCGTACATGATCAAGTCAAAAGTAACTGTGATTGTGAGAGACTGTAACCAATAAATTGGGAATAAGTTAAGAATGGTAAATCGTATAATAGTAGCCAATAGGTCAAATGATAGCTTATGATAAAAGAAATATGAATATATATAATCTAGTAACTTAATAGTCATTATATATACAATAACAGTCTGTAAATAGTTCCCGGAATTTACCCATAAATTAATCTCCATTGGATGCAACAAGTGACCTGGAAAGTTTATCAAAAATTATTTTTAGAAGCTGGGTAAAATGCTGAAACTGCTTTGCGCAGTGTGTGTTCAAAGCGAAGCTTTCAGAGATCTTTGATAAATCACTGGTTTATGTACCATATCATGATTCAATAATTACCGATTTTATTATTGATTTAGCATATTTTCAGAAGCTCCCAGAATATTTAGGTCATGCATAACACAATAAACCTGGAATTTTGGAGTCTAAATTAACTGTAGAAGTGAAGATTCCTTTTACACTTTTCACTATATGTCTTCAGTGTAGGTTAAAGCGTAGATTTCTAGGGGTCAAGGAAGTTGTGGGCTTAATAGACCGAAACCGAAATACACCCAAATTTGATTTACACACTTAAAGTGTTTAAGACTTGAAAATAACGATTACATGTTAACTGATTCAACTAATCACTATTCTATTACTCTGTACATCTCTGATGGTGTATTGGTGATATCTTTGTTCTACATATATGAAATACATTTAAGATTTAAAGAGAACTTATCTTTAGTCTAGCATGTGATTAAACTCAACTTATATTGTAATATACTCTATTCGATTGTTAACCACTACTTATCAGACGTTCGAAATTGTTAGTTAGTTCAGTGCTAATATCATTGTTTTCTTTAAAACTAGACACTATGGCAATTAATTACTTACGCCTGTTACCCCTCGTAGAGGAGCATTGGCAGCCTACCAGCATTCTCTATTCAGTCTTGCCCTGGGCAATCCTTTCCAGTTGTTATTCATCCTTTTCATATCTGCTTCTATTTCCCGGCGTAATGTGTTCTTTGGCTTTCCTCTTTCCCGCTTCCCTTTACGATTCCAAGTTACGGCTTGCCTCGTGATGCAGTTTGGTGATTTCCTTAATGTATGTCCTATCCACTTCCAACGTCTTTTCCTAATTTCCTCTTCAGCTGGAAGCTGATTTCTCCCCTCACATAAAAGGTTGTTGATGATGGTATCCGGCCAGTAAATGTTGAGTATTTTGTGTAGACAACTGTTTATAAATACTTGCACTCTCTTGACGATGGTTATAGTAGTTCTCCACGTTTCAGCTCCATACATTAGAACTGTCTTGACGTTCGTATTGAAGATTCTGACTTTGAAATAAGTTGACAGTTGTTTTGAGTTCCATATGTTCTTCAACTGTAGAAATGCTGCCCTTGCTTTGCCAATCCTCGCCTTTACATCTGCATCCGATCCTCCTTGTTCATCAACGATGCTTTCCACTTCTTCCAGAGTTTCGCCATCAAGTGTGATTGGGTTGGTGTTCTCCGTGTTGTATTTGAGAATCTAGCTTTTTCCTTTGTGAGTATTGAGGCCTATCGATGCAGAAGCTGCTGCTACATTTGCTGTCTTCATCTGTATTTGTTTGTGTGTATGAGATAGGAGGGCTAGGTCATCTGCGAAGTCCAAGTCATCTAATTGATTCTGAGAAGTCCATTAGCAATTAACTACTGATCAATTTTAGTGACCCTAAATCTGAATCCATTTGGATCGTATGAATAATTGTTATTGAAATATACATGTCATCAATCTTTATATGTAATCATCGACTTAAATCGCGTTAATGAATAACAGAATTAAATAAGTCAAATATGAGGAATGTATTTCCAATACGTATATTTCATACAACCATTGATCTGGACAGAAGATCAAACAAAAAACGAAGCGAAACGAAATGATGCGAAATGAAGAAGTCGTGTGAGCCAACTCAATCTATCCAAGCATTACTCAATATTTTATAGTCAGACAAAAAATAGGTTACAGACATTAGATGAGTAACATAAGAAATGCACACACACATATACAGTTACATAAAACAGTGAAGGTTGATAAGTGTATAATGAACAAGGTGAAAATGTGGCTAGTGAAGAAGATTGAATAAATTGATCTATTCGAAATCTTGAATAAGTTATGCGGGTTTGATATGGCACCCGGCATTGCAATTTAACGGATTAGTTTGTGTCCACCAGATTATGAATCTAATATTACAAGTCATTAGTAATCTTAAATGGGGGCATTATATTTTTATTAAACTATTGAATCGATGAAATTGAAACACTGTTTGTGTATTATACAATTGTAAGTCATGTGTATAGTGAGTATAGTGCTATGAAAGTCTTAGAATAGAACGTAACAACTGTTCACTTAAACATGGTATTCAACGGTTTTAAGAATGATTTCATATATGTAAACAGCCTAAACGTTAAATTTCGCATATAGATATATCACTTACAGATCTAGATAACTTATTGAAATAGTCCCCCAAATTCCCTGGTACGGCCAAGAGTGGTGAGAGTCCTCTCTCCCTCTCGAAATGCTCTCACATGGCCACACGTATATAGCCTCTGCCAGGGAAGTTCTACTCACTGCCTTCTCGCCACTGGGGTGTTGTTTACGAAATTAAGAGGATAAAAAGCAAATTTCCGGGGCTTTAACTGGGCCAGTGGACACGGAAAGTCCGCCTAAGGGAGTTGGAAAACCCTGATTCCAAATCAATGGTAGACATGGTCTCCCGTATCCGGAAGGAACAATTGGCGTATGAACCAATTGTTGGTCACCGTCTACCATGGGACTGCATCTCCTCACGATGCTCCACTGCCTTGTAGATTAGACCTTTAGGTCAAAGACTCCGGATGTGGCCCCCTAAGAAAACCACCTGCTTCAATTTGAGGACATGGGTAGTATCACAGCTCTCACACAAATTAAATGAGATTTGTTAGGCGCATATGTATTCGGTACTCCCTTTGTACCAATATTTATGTGTTCAAATAAATAAATAAAATTGAAATAATCTATTTAATTGTTATATATACTTACATTTTGTTACAGGCTATAAATGTACACTGGTTATTCACGTATATTGTGTGCGTGTGTGTGTATGTGTAAGTACATGAGTGTTTGTGTGAATCGTGAGGGTTTTTATCTCAACAAAAAGGTGTAAAACATATTGTACATTACCTAGTTCAAATTTAACTATCAAAAACATAATGATATTTCAATTCACTTATTATTGTTTGTTTGAATCTTTCCATTGATGTTTAGGACTGCAACTGGTAAGTTTCTAATTGGCATATGTGCATACTGTACATATTGCCTCGATATAGCCTGAATTCACAAGCATTGTAAGCAAAGATGGCTATTAGGACTCAGTAGCTGAGTGGATAACGTGATGGCGTTTGGAGCAAAATGTACTGAGTGGTCAAGTCTCAGAGTAAACATCAACTCTGAGATGCAAGTACATCCATCTGACGAGTCCCAAATAGGACGGAGTGATGCGCGTCCCGGATTCCACTACTAGCCATTATCCATATAATGATATTTCATTTAACCTCATTCTTGTGATTTAATTGTATAACTTTTTAGAAGTAGCAATTTCCATTTCATTGTGAAATGATGCGGACACTAACAAGTGTATCGAACTAATTCTTTTCTTATCTCCAATATGATGGTTGATTTTAATGTAGAGAAGTGTATGTTTAAAAATTAAAACTTTAACCCGTTCGACATGTTTAACAAGGTCTTTTGTTCTAACATTTAACTTGAAGTTGATATAGCTAGCATCATTTTAACACATCTCCTCAATGGATATTCTGTAACAATGTTCAATGCTATTAAGACATTTGTTTGTCATCCAGCTCTATCTTGATTCAATCAATCTAGGATAAGTGGGAATATCATTAAAACGCATGGCGATTTTCGGCTTTTTTCCAACTAATTTTTTCATTAAATCGTTGGATTCATGAGTCAATTGGAGCCAGACCACCATGAAAAACCTGGAAGCACTGGACGGCCATTTCGTCATAGTATGGGACTCAGCAGTGCGCATCCACCACCCTGCTCCAAGAGATTCGAACCCAGGACCTATCGGTCTCGCACGCGAACGCTTAACGTCTAGATCACTGAACCGGCATCCAACAATGT